AACATTTTTATTTTTCCCCAAAAAAATTTCTATGTTTAGACCAAATTGAGATATTTGAAATTTTAAATTTCCAATTTCTAACAGGAAAAATAATTTTCAACATTTAAAGGGACCTTTTTTCCATATGCTGAAAAAACGAGTCGAAGAATCATTTAGGGTAGAGTACCCACGAGATTCACACTCAAAACGTCATAAAAGATGTCCCTTTTTTTCTATGTACCCGATACTTCTCTAGCGGTCGGTCCCCCGCTGTGCAACGGACTCATTTCCTTCAACTATGCACATTTGGCACAGCAAAATTCAGTCTTTACATGAATTCGATTTCTTATTTTAATTTTAGTTCGAAACAAAAATTAAAATCCTAATCTCAATTAACAGTTAAATTTACTTTAATTTTAAAGGAACAACAACATTACTTGTAACAACAAATTATTCAACTTATTTGAGTTCATAAATTAGCATTTTTCCTTTTCTAATTATTGCTCAAACCCAATTTTCAGAACAAATTGTTTAACAAATAAATATTTACTGTGAACTTGACTTAAACTGAAGTAAATATTTCTGATGAACCTTTCAACGACGGTTATATAATCACGAGAAGATTACCATAACTTACATTGTTCATAATACATAAACATATCTAAACAATTATTCAAATAAACATTAAATAATATAAAGATTATTCCTTTCCACAAAATTAATGCAAGTACAACAAACAATTCAATTAAAAGGTAAACATTTTTCTCAAAAATCCTTGCACCATGTTAATTAATCATTGTTTTCTCATTAAAATTCAATTTAAATAATCTCTTTCATCTAGTATACTGTAAAAAGTATCATTGCTAGATGAATATCAATTAACTACAACAACGCACAAGATTCCAGAGTTCTAGACTTGACTTCAAACTAGAAAACTGATTAATCAGATTTGATTAAACAACTCATTAACCAAAGACATTAACATGAAGAATAACTCTTTAATTCGATACATTTTTGAAACTCTTTCCATTCAAAAATGATACGGCTTCCTCCATTTATTATTATAAATTTCAAAATGCAAGCAAACAACTTTGATAGCACTAGTCATTCAGCAAAGATCTGACTTACCGCTCGCTTAATACATAATTGCAATTGAATCTTCAGCCATACCTATTTTAGGTGTATAATACAACCTCAAATTTTCCATCATCTCTGAGGTCATCTCCAAACAGTCAGATCTGTTGTCCTCGACCAATCACTCGATGATAAACGCCGATGATGATTCTGTCATCAGGTACTACTTGAACTGCTTCCTGTTTGTTCATAAGCGATTTTCCCACTTGCAAAATCTAACCACTTTTTGCACTTTAAAATCACACTATTTTCACGGAACCAGTTTATAATATTGTTTTTACAATTAGATACACATGAACGTGTGTGTATCCCACTTCTGATATGTGGTAACATGTTTTTACCAGAATAAATAAATAATAATAATAATTCCGATGTAATATAAATAAATCAATGAAACACAGCTTTTTAATAAACAAAGAATTTATTCCTCGAAGCTGGAATCAGGATACAAGAATCGCTAACAATTAAATATAATATTCTGAGATGCCGCGTTCTCTACAAGATAAAAGTGCATCTTGACACTTCGGACCCAAAACGGCAACTGCTCAAGTCATCCCTTGGAAACCGCGCTTTCCTTGGGAGTCGACAAATTCCTCTCCCTCGCTGTCCCTGTCTAGCATGGACCATATGGTTATCATATGGTCCTCGAACCGCCTAAATCTCTGAGTTTCTCTTTGTTTCCGTGAAGTTGGACCCAAAGTTGTTGTCAAGCGAGTTTGAGACATTTCATAAAAATTTCCACTCCGACAACAATAATAAAATTCTTTAATAAAATTTATTTATTATTTTTTAATGTCTTGTGTTATAATAATGTTTTGTCTATTCATGGAATTTATTTTTTGTGATTTTTGTGAATTTCCTATTGTTTTCCAACGTTTTTGAGTTTTACGTAAAAATTGACAAATTTTATTTTTATGACGATTTTTATATTTTGATGACGATTTGAAAAAGATGATGTAAACAATATCACTGATTTATTTCGGTAAGAAAGTTCAAACTCTTATTATTTTGTATTTATTATAATTCATAGTATTGTATTGATTTGTAAATTCGTTTATCACATTTTTTATATTTTTGTATTATTGTTTGATAGACTCCCTGAAGAGGAAATTGTTGAGATTTCGAAACGTTGGAGAAATATATAAAATTAAATTTGGTCCGAATGAATTCGTTTTTATTTACCTTACCTTTAAAATTGAAAATATTTGAAAAGAAAAATTATAAAAAAGTTAAGAAACAAAAAAGCAAACAACAACTAACTTCAAACTGCAAAATAGGTTACCGGAACATGTACTTTTTTATTATTAATTTATAAATATTATTTTTAACTGAAATGTTTTTACATTTTTTTAAATAATAAAAATATTAATTTATAAATATTTGTGGGTTATTATTATATTATTAATATTGTTAATATTATTATTAAACAATTTATTTATTTGCTGTAGTGTATTAGTGTCAATAAATGCTTTATTAAATCACTCAACAAGTCACTGAAAATAAAGCGTCTGTGTTCAGTTAGGTTCCGTAGCATAGTGGTAAGGGTGTTAGTTTCGTAGGTCGTAGGTTCAAGTCTCGCGTGCGTTAGATATTATTTATTTCGTAGGTTTGCGTTTAATCCGATTTTTCTGTATTGTATAGGTATAAGTATGTAGTTTAATGATTATATACACCGTTAAATAATTTAATTAACAAATATTTAATTAAAAAATTTTTTTTTTATTTATACATATATAAAGGGATATGTATTAATCCCCTTTAACATTATTTATGAATTCGCTATTGATCACGATTAAATTTAAAAAAAGTAAAAATTATTAAATAATAATGTCATTTATTAATAATTGAGGCCTTGGATCCAATAACTCGCCCGACGCTTGGAGGAACGCGCAACTGCCAGTCAGTGAGCAGTGAGCGCCTCTGGGCCACTCACTGCTACCCGACTGGTATTGGCGCGTGCCTTCGAGCGTCGGGCGAGTTATTGGATCCAAGGCCTCAATTGAACTTATTATAAAAATTAGTTAAAAATGATCTCAAATATGCTATGAGCAGTTTTTCCAGGGTTTCAGGAGAGGGAAGAATTCAGTAAGTAAGGGTCAAGCAGTATTTAATAAGGTTCTAGGATAACACCTGCTTTCCCCTTTTACCATCTAAATATGTCGCTAACCAGGGGTTTGCAGGAGGTAATCAGAGTTAACTTGCAATGCAAATAAACTCTGTTTTCATCCAATTACATCCTTAAAAATGCTCAGTTTTAAGGATGTAAGCAGGTCTAAAAGTACAACTCGGGTTACTTCTTTAAATTAAAATAAAATTTTACGTCACTGTGCTGAACAATGTTAGAGGAACCCAGCACCTTCAAGAGAAATTAGGTTTTAAACGCGAAAATGCAAAATAAACACACTGTGCGCCGTTGAACGGCATAAGTATCACTGTTTTATCTTTATCTGCTTCAGTAAAAGCTCTCTGTATTTTATAGAGTTTTTTTTTATTGTTTATACTCCTGCCCTATTGGCCTTACGCACTTCGACAAGAGTCCCCGAGAAATACTTTTTGGATTAAGCATAACCATTCTACTTAGAAATTTTCTATATATTAACCTAATTTTGCGTCTACAGCCGACTTTATTAGGAGTACTCGCATTACGCCTGGACCACCCGTCAATGGGTTTTCTCGACAGAGAAGAGGGAAACTGTAGAAAACCTCTCCTGAGTACAACCGGTTTATCGACAGTCGAGTTCTAATGGTGTGTACCGGACAATAATCGACGGTGCACATTATTATACCTCGACGTCAAACCTCCCGCTCAGATTGTCTCACGTGCCGGAAAAATACCAAGCCAAGTGGGCGCCAACCAAGGATACTTATACCCTTGGTCCTTAAACGACCGCCAATGCGAGGCATCTATCCGACTGAGTCAATCTGTCGGTATATTTTATAGAGTTGATACTGTCATAAAAATAATACCTGCATTACTGTTACTGAAACAATTTTTAAATGAATTATTTTGAAAAAGAATGGTGAAAGCTTAACATTTTTTTGAATAATTAACTTTGAAAAAGAAAGCTTAATGCTTAAAAATAAAATATTTTTCTAATATAGTAGAAGATTTTGAGTAGAGGTCCAGGGCGCCGTTTTTTAAATGCCAATAACTTTTCAATATTTGCTAAAAATACACTCTCTCGTGTAGAAATGGTGGTTGGGTTTTAGTGGGGACCCCACTAGTTTACCCCATTTGAAAAAGGGCTCCAACTAGAGAAACTAGTGGGTATCTAGTCGATTTTGTCACGCTCGTGTTGATAGGGTTCCTACTAGAGATTTTAGTCGGGTTCTAGTGGGGTCGCCCTATTAAAACCCTATATCATAAAATAGCTTATAGGTTATCCCAAAATCTGAATCATTGAATATTTCAATGATTCAGATCCAGGAGTTAATTTTAAACAAATAATTAGAATTAAATTATGTTTCTCAAATATATTATATTTTTATATATTTTGTACTTAATTAAAATAACATTTTTTAAAACTATATAATTAAGTCTTTTTATAGTTTGGCAATATCTTGACGCATAGTTGTAAGAAAATCTGAAAAGAAAAATATATTTATTAAAATATTAAATATACATATAATTCTTTCTCGGAACTTTTAAAATAATTTATATTTTCGATTTAAATAAATCTTTAGTTGTTGCTTATTTTGCATTTGAACAAAAAGTAGTCTTTACTTTTAAAATATTATTTCTTATTAAAATTTAATTATGATTCATATGCAAAATTATGCTCTTACAATAATTATTCTATAATTTGAACTAACTTTTTTGTTTAAATCTTTCTATTTATAATAAAATTTTATTTTAGTTTAGTCAGTATACTTACAAAAACAAGTTATTATTCAGGTTCCTTATGTCTACTCTTCCGACCACCTTCCCAATCTTTAACGTTTGGTAACACATTTTTCAATTCATTTAAAAATGTTCCTTCCACAATAGGAGCACCCAAATGATCTTTATGAGTATCTGAAATGGCATCTGAAAAAGAATATACTATTAGTATTTTTGATTAGGAAAATAACTGTTGTTAAAAAATTGTTAAGAAAAATTAAAGTTTTTCCTATATTACAATTTTAATATTTTTAATATAGCTTACTGAGCATAGAAGTAAACATCATTGTGTTCTTAAATATTTTTTTATCTCCAGTAACTTTCATTGCTACAAAATTAAGTGCAAGGTTCTTCGAAAAGTACTTTTTTAATATGTTTGTAATGGTCTTGCGCGTATTTAAAGTGGAGTCAAAATGCATGCTGAGAGAAGATTCCTAAAAAATTTTAAATCGTTTTTTTAATAAATAATATTAAATATTAAATATTGACTCTGAAGTTTAAAATACTTATAGTAATAATAAAAACTATTATCTTGATAGTTAAAAATTTTCTGTAGATAATACTTACGAATTTAACCTTAAAATCATTAGATAAAAGCGATTCTTCGAATTTCTCAAAATCTTCCATCTCTTGAAATGGAATTCCCAGTTTGTGCTCTTCAGCAAAATTATAATATTTCGAAACAACATTTTTGTCTGATAAAAGTTGCTCCACTTTCGCATTTAAAATTCGTTCCTTATTTAACAATTCTTTTAGGTACATCTCGTTTATTCTGCATATAGCCAAAATTTCATCTGAAAAAATTAAATCTCTAAAAATTCAAATTTATGTTAATATTTTATTTATATAAAATGTATTTACCAAGTTGACTTTGTCTGACTTCAACATGTGAAGAGGATAAACTTGACGAAAGTGTATCAGATTCTGAAATCAAATAATTTAAAAATTAGTATTTCATGGAAAAAGATAAAATTTATTTTAATATAATATTTGTTAAAATTGCTTTTACCAAGTTCATTTTTTCTGTATGAAAGAGATGAAGAAGACGATTTTGCTGAAGTTTTAGAGGATCCTAAAATAGAAAAATGATATTTAAACAGAAATTATGCAGTAGATAAAGGTGAAAAATGTAAAAAAAAACTTTTGTCATGAAACAAATAAGATTATCAAAATTAAGAAATACTTTGTTTTGGGAAAAAAATTTACCTTCTAATGAATTTATCGAATTGTTGATTTTATTCGTTTTCTCCCTTGGAATTTTCGACTTATCTTTAATTTCAAATTTTCCAGTCCCTTTAATTGTGTTGTCATTTAAGTTTTGCTTTTTTGAAGGAGGCTGTAAAGTCGGACTCTCAGACTGCCTTTCACAATCGCTTGCGGAGTCATCTGCATCATGATGATCTTGCATAAGAAATGGGTCCGAAATTTCATCATCTAATGAAGGAACTTGCATCGCAAGTTTCGTATTATTAGTAACATTATATTTTTTTGAACGAATAATTTTTGTCATATCCTTGGATTTTTGCTTCTCATCAGCATCAGTCGTGTATGCAAATCGTTCATTTTCCAATTTTTTTAATTTCTAGACTGCTTCATCATAACTTGCTAAATATTGAAATATATTATGAGTAGTTTATTTTTATTAATGATAATAATATTAAATAATGGAATTTAATTTAACATTTACATTATTTTATATTTTATATATAACCAGCAAATTAATTATGATTTTTAGAATTAAAAAATTTAATATTATTTCAAGAATAAACATCAATTTTTGAAAGATTACGGACTCAAAACTTAAATAATTCACTTATTAAGTATTTAATATTAAATATTCTTGTTTCTATAATTATTCAAAAAATTTTCGCAAGAATTTCATTATTCTCATAAATAATAATATAATTTAGAGCAATTCAATTATTTTCAATACAATTTAAATAAAATTTCTCGAAAGATTACAATTATTTTCAAGAATCTTAATATAAATTCAATTATTTTCGACAAATTTTTATAAAATTCTTTTAAAAAAATCATTATTTTCAAAATTGTAAATAAAATTCCTTGAAAAAATTAAATTATTTTCAAAAATTCAGATGAAGTTCTTCGAAACAATTCAATATTATTTTTATAAATTTCTTAGCAAGAATTCAATTTTAATTTTTTTAATTATTAATCAAATTTAATTTTAAACAAAGTTTAATTTTAATAAAAATAGGTTCAATTATTTTTAAAAATTGTAATAAAATTTTTCCAGAGAATTAAATTGTTCTCAAAAGTTTTTAATAAAATTCTTTGTAAATTTCAATTATTTTTAAAATTTTCAATTAAAATTATATTAAATAAAATTACATTATTATTACCAAATTTAATGAAATTATTTAAAAAATGTAATTATTTACAAAAACTTTAATAACATTGTTTAAAAGAATTTAATTTTCTAAGAATAATTTTACAATAATTTAAAAGAAAAATAACTAATTTCAATTGATAATAAACACGATTATTTTAAAAACTGAAAAGAAAATCTTTATAAAATTCAATTACAATCAACATTTTCTATAAACATGATTTTAAAAAAATTCCACTATTTTCAAGAAAGTTGAAATCAATTCTTCAAAACAATAAAATTATTTTAAAGAATTTTCATAAAAATCTTGCCAAGAATTAAATTATTTTCAATACAATTTTAATTACATTTTCTTGAAGAAATTCAATTATTGAAAAAAATGTTGATTAAATTCTTGAAATGTATTCAATTCTTTTCAAATTTTTTGATAAATACTTTTTAAGAATTCAATGATTTTCAGTACATTAATTTTAAACTTGAAAACATTTTAAAAGGAAAATTATTTACAAAATTAAGAAACGAAAAAGCAAACATTTAATTTAATAATTAAATAATAATATTTAAATTTTTTACTTTACCTGCATGACCTTTTAAATTGATTGGAAACGTAGGCCAATCTGTTTTCGGTGGTAGCTGCGATTTCACCAAGCTATTGAAAACCTCCCATGTTTTTTTATTATAAGGAGGTGGTGGATAATATGTTACTAGTTTACATGTTAGGTCGTCATAAAAAATCCATCCCTTATAAACAAAATCTATTTGCTTCTGACCATTGTCATCTTCACTGGCAAATTCAAAAAGCTGGTAGACTTTTAATTCGTCTTCGGAAATCTTTCTCTTTGACATTTCAAACCTGTTAAGGAATTTATTGTATTATTATTTTTGGTTAAAAATAATACAGGAGATTGATAATTGTTAATAATATTTTAATCAAGTCACCAATCAGTTTGATAATGTTAAAAACCTAAGAAAACCTTTAAAAAAACAATAAAATATATGTGAAGAAACAGTACTTTAGTTCAAACTTTAATCCTAACCCTACTTTTGCTTATATTTCTACACTGCATCATATTTTCCTACATAAAGTTATAAGTATTTTATGTTTATTATGGAAAAACGTAAATCAATTTAACGTACCTTGTTGTTTTACACTTTTTTGAAAATAAGAACAAAGTAGAATAAATATTAAACACAAGTAGAAAAGAAAATCAACGAAAAGAATTTTCTCGAAAGTTTGTTGTTTACTTTAGCATTCTGATGCACAAGTATTCAGAATAAATCACGTGACACGTATTAACCAATCAGGTTCCAGTCGGCCATTATAGCGCGGCATATTTAAAACTTATGTAATAAACTATATTATTCATTATATTAATTATAAAAATAATTATATAATAATATTTTTATTAATAATTAAATATATTAAAATATTTTTTTAATATATCATTTGCAATGTGCGTTTTATTTTCACCAAGCTAAATAAGATAATTATCCAACCGGGTTTTAAGTGTTTGAAAATCCGCACTTGTTTTTTAGTCTCTGATGTATTCAGTTAAATTGTGTGTTTACAGTGTTTTTGTACAATTATTGTTGAATAACGATAAATTATAATGGAGAGAAAAGAAATTATTCGAGACCAAAATCGAATACATACCAAAAAACGAAGGTTATTACAGCGTACTGAAAATGAATTATTAAATAACAAACCAAGTACCAGTAATGATACTGATTTTAGGTTAGAAAGTGACATATGTTCATCTGAAGGTAATAAGATTTAGTTGAAATTGTTAATAATATTCAGTGATAAAAAGTTGATTTTAAATCCTAATATTCAACTTTTATATACGTAATAGAGCAATTCCACGGGAAGTGATCTGAAGAATTTTCGATGATTTTAGCAATATTAATAATACTTACTGAATTTGTTCCCTCATATACATGGAATAAAAATGTATAAAAGTTTTTTCAAAATTTTTTGAGTTACCGCTTACTCAAAATTTTGGTCGGTTTTTCAAAAAAGGCACATAACTTTTTTCTTTGTTAACCGATTAAGATAATTTTTTTTGGAAAATACTCATAATAAGAAGCACTTTAAAGAAAAAAATAAAAAGAAAAAAAAAATTTTTTTTTGCCCGAAAAAATTTTAAAAAAATTTATTGAATCAAAATTTTGAAAAAAATACCTTTTCGATTTGAAATTTTTTTTTTGTAGTTATTGTCTATAAAGTCAAGAATCCTTCCTATAAATTTAATTATGGGACAACAATAACTTTACGAGAAAAAAAATAAAATGTCCAGCGCGGCATGCCGGGACTCGTGCATGTATTCGCTTATGGCGGCGCAAGTATCGTTCCAAATCACTCTACAAGTCACAATTTTTTGCCAAAACGATTTTTCTTTTTTTCCAAATCTTCGTAATTAAGTTTTTTATCGATCTCACGAGCCCGGTTTTAAAATTTTGTTTTTAAACATTTTTTTAATAACAATAAATTTTAAAAAAATCATAAAATCGTAAACTATATTTTTTTCAGCTTCAATCATTCAGAAAATTAATCAAAAAACCTATTAAAAGAATGTTTGAGTGTTTCTGATGTATAACAAAAGTATACCAATTTATTAAATTGTTTAAACAATTAATTGTTATTTCTTTCCTAAACTGTACTTAGGGTTAGAAACTTCTAGTTTTTTTTAATTGTGCATTTTTTTTTTGTTTAAACAATTTATTTTTTGTAAAGTTTTCAATTTACTGAACTTAAAACTAGAAACTTATTATTTAATTTATAGTTTTCTATTTTTTAATGAATTGTACTTTGAAAAAACTAGAAACTTTAGCCTTAAGTGCAATTTATAAAAAAATGGCAACAATTCATTGGCTAAACAGTTTTATAATAAATAATTTTTTATTTCTTATCATCAGTAGATGTTTTACTCATGAAAAATTGTAACAATAGAGAAAAAACTAGATTTATTATTAATTAATTATTAATTATTAATTATATTAATAATAATAATAATAATAATAATAATAATATTATATTATTAATTAATTATTTATTAATATTTAATTAAAAATTAAAATTTGTAAAAAATTTGTAAAAATTTGTAAAAATTTGAAGCATTTTTTTTAAAAATGCTAATTTTTATATCTAAAAGAAATGGGAAATAAATATCTATTAATAGGGAGGGGGAAACTTTAATCATATTTATAAGGAATAGATTAAATAAAATCAATAATTTCTAATTAAGTGAACTATTTTTATCGAGTGACTTTTGTCAGGAATGGAAAACTGGTTTTCCTCATAGGATTTGGAAGAAATTTAAGAAAAAGAGGCAAAAGAAAGATCTTAAAATTTTTAATTTAATATAAAATTTAGACCTGATAGAATATTAAATTTTTAATATATTAATATATTAAAAATATTAAAGGAAATTAATTTTAGTAAAAAATATATTTTATATAATAAATTAAAAGGATAAAAAGAATAGAAATAGGTAAAGTAAATTATTTAGTTAAAATAAATAAGTATAATGTAGATGAAAATTGAATATTTTATTAATGTGTAAATTACAAAATGTTTAAGTTATGTAATAATTTAAGAATCTTATGAAAAAATTAAAATTATAGGAATAAAAATATTTTAGAAAATAAATCAAATTACATAGTAAATAACATCTTGATGGACAATAATGAAATATTCAATATATTGTGGCATTTAAAATATTATAATTATAAATTTTTATAATGAAATTATAATGTTTTTTTTAAACTACATTTTAATTAATTAGAACTTTAATTTCAATAAAATTATTAACATTAATTTACCTCTATTTGGTTTTAATTAAAAATAAATTTTTTAATAAAAATAATTTTTAAGTGCAAATTAAATGTTATAATATTTTAACTATTATTCATTTGAATTTAAAATATTCAATAAAATAATGTAAGGTAAATAGTTATTAAGTAAATTAAAAGTATTTTATCAATTTTGATAAAATTGTTGAAATAAAAATAATTAGAAGTTTTAAAAAATAAAATTAAGGGGGAATAAAATTTTTAAATAAAAGAAAGCAAAAATTGTTGATAAACATAATATAATAAATGAAATAAAAAAGTATGAATTTAAAGTAAAAATTTTAATTGATAAAACTTTTAAATAAAAA